ATAATAAGAATATCGACATAGCTTTGCACACTATTGTAATGGAAATGCAGCTACTGACCTAAAACATACAAGGAAATCCACCAACGACTCACTGAGACAAATGAACAATCGAAAATCCATAGTCCTAGTTAAAGCCAGGACGATTATTATAATGAGATTCTGTGGGGTCTCACAGATTCCACCCCCCCAAAAAAGAAGGTACAGCTCAAAACAGAAAAAAGGGAGCAGGTTCGTCTCAGGCATGCTAAGGGAAATAGAAGTAGCTGTTAGGGGGAGAATATACTAATTTCTCATGTAAAAAGAACAGTAGAAGTATGACTATGTTCCATAAAAGCAGTTAAGTTAGTTTTTGTTCCAATGACTAAAACATGTGGTTCGACATGGACCTGAAAAACATTTCTTAATAGATAACTTCATATTCAATAATGTATCTGGCTTTATTTCTCATCAATGTGTAAAATATAGTGTTGTTGGTTGTGATCTTGGAGTTAGTCAGTCATATTCCTCTTGGGGAATAAAAATGCAGGTTACGTAATCGGCAGCATTAGTGCAGGAAGAGAGCTGTCTCATAATTGCCACACTCTGATAAATGAAAGAGTTTGGAGCCAGTCTGGGCCGTCGGCTGGAGAAAGCTGCTCCTAATGCTGCTGACCGCGGTGACTGTCACAGGTCACCAGTTCAGGCTTTAGATACTGGAGTCTTTAGGCGTCTTTGTCTGTAACTTTACCGTGAGCTGGTCCTCTGTCAAAACTGGACTCTGTTTCAGCTTATTGACTTCCTTAATGTTGGAGCTGCTCGTTAGAGCTCTTTAGAGATGCCTAGCTTAACTATGAAGCCAGTCCAACAAAGGAAAAAGTTCGGAAGCACAGAAAAATAATCCTATACCTAATATTAAATTTAAGGTAATATACGGGTGTCTCAGTTAATGAGAAATAAATCGTAAGGGCTAATTTTAGAAACACTTTTTAATAAGTAAACATCATATATTTGTTCATTAATCAAAGATTGGGCTTTTTTAGGTACACCACTATCTAACACAAATTAATATGATATTGGACCAATGAGAAAGAATGCTTGATAGAAACCTATAGAACCTATATTATGGCCTTCATAATAATGACAGGTGTCTAGTAGATACTCATCATTTACGCAAGATATAAGTCACAAATGGTTTACTCATGTCTTTGTGCAAAGAACATTAACTGGAAGTAATAGAAGCAGCAATAATAAGCACAGCTGTGTAGTGATTCCCCTTTAAAACTTTGATGGAAATTCACAAGGCATGAGCAACGACTGGAGTCTGTGCTTTTCTTTTCTGAAAAAGGTGATTAATGCTTTTTGTTCGCTGTAAATCATAATAATATTAAATCAAAATTAATATAAATAGAGGCTGAAACTGTAGCTGTCCTAATGGAATTAATCTAAACAGGTTTCATATTTTAACAGAATTACAGAAATGAATTCTCTTTTTGATTTAAAATGTTGAGACACTGTCCTGGTTTCTCAAACTTTTGACGATTTACCGCGCATTTATTGCTTTTTTTTTGTCCAAAACCATCTGTTTGGCGCCTTTCTTGTGTTTAAACAGGAAATTGCATCTGAATTTGAGCCAGTATTAGAATCAGCTCTTCTGTTATGACATCATCTAGAAAAACTGATGTGAGTAGCTCTGTCACTTTGGGCTATAAATGTGGTCTTCCCCTATTTGCGACTCCAGATACAGCCAGGTTTATTTTTATTATTTATTAACTGGTTAAGCTTCTTGAAGTTTGGCTGGATAGATGTTCTGTTTACTATGAAAGCTTGGTTACAAAAGAATTATGTTTGTGCTGTACCTTACATGTTCATTCATCTGTAATATTTTCACTCTGATTAAAGATCAAAGGTATCTCTGCATAAATCACCTTTGCTTTAAAGTTGTTTTATATCATTCTTGAGTTGAAGGGGGTGCAAAATAAAATCAGTTCCAGAGCCACAATTTGACCCCATAGAGATGCATCGATCAATAAATCGCAATCGGCCTGTAGCAGCCTTATCGGGATTGATTTTTGTTCTAAGAATAGGTCGAAGGAGGCCAATCAGATGACGTTTATCACAACAAACCTCCACCGGGGCATGCGTGCATTTCCAGTTCAACTTATATTAATAAAACTAGAATACAAGTTCATTAATTCCAGTAACTTCATTTAATAAGTTAAAGACATTACATAGATTAATTGCATACAAACTGTTTTCAAGCATGTATTTATGTTAACTTTGATATTTTTACACAAAACTAAGGAAAACATTACATATATAGAATAATTATTAGACAACTGAAAAAGGCAATGGAGGAACGTTTGCTTTATTGAAAGCATTGTATGTGTAAACCCTGCTATAACTGTAGGGTAAAACTTAGAGTTTCATTAGTGGTACAATCAGACAACAAACAAAGCAGACTCTTCAGGAACGATGCCGTTTTTTCTTCTACTCCTCCAGAATCTTATGACCATCAGAGCTGTTGTTGGGCCGCCTAAAGATGATGTTGTCATGTGATTTTTCTTCACTTTCTGACTACAATTACCTAATTACCTCCCTTTAGCTGAAATGGGGTAATATATTTTAATTTTTTTAGAAAATGAAACGTGTGAATTTGCCTTGTTTTTTGCTGCACTTACTGCCTCCTTGCAGAAAGACAAAGGCCCACAAACAGGAAAACGGAAAGCTATTTAAACATGCAGGCATACAGGAAGAGAACCAGACATCAATATGAGAGTTTATGCAAGAGTTTGTTCAGATTGGTGAATCAATAAGAGGCCGTGTGAGCTAACAGAATACCTGTGGCAGCGGTCTGGAAATGACTCAGTCTTTGTATAAAGAAACACTGATTTTGTATTTTCGTTCCTGACACCTTGCTCTTGTGGGTCGACATGTCGACTTATTGTGAGTATTGGTCTTAAACATCAGCGTCTAACTTCCTCACTTAGTTTTTTTTTTTTTAAAGTTAAATCATCCATTTGTACTTATAAAAAAACCTCTCATTGTGGGATTAGCCTTAAAAGCGCCCCACAGCACTGAGTCAGAACCCCCCCCCCCCCATCTGTCTGACTACAAACATACACACATCGATGATGCATTAGTGAGAAAAGCATCTTTGCTTGCTCAACCCTCCATCTTCACTGTGGAATCCCCTCTTCCTCCCCATCTACGGTTGTTTGGGCTTTTTAGAGGATTTTCTAGCTGTCAAGAAAAAGTCTATCTGGCTGAGGCGAAGTTAACATTGTGGGCGTCTAAGGGCTATTGGATGTGAGATTGGGCTATACAAACAAACCTGACTAGACATTAGTGTTTCAAAGGGATTAGGTGGTCTTGAATCATTGAGACACACCACACATGTAACGTCCATTTAACCATAGACAGAGCTGGACTTGTGGATCCAGCATGTTGCTGAACATTGAATTCTTCACATAGCAGTTGATTATTTAAAGCCATCGATCAGAACCACTTCAGTCCTTTAGGGGTCCAGACTTCTTTCCAGTTAGCTTTGCATCTCCAGGCACAGTAGAATAGCTATGCCAGTTTGTTCTCCTAAAAAGTGACAGAAAATATTTATAGAGAGACGTTAAAAGATGGTGCCCTGCACACCTCTGCTGTTTTTAATCTGGGCACAGTTGAATGTTTCAGATCGGAAAGAAAAGTTAGGGTAAAAGAGTAAATCTAAAACTGATTAAGTTGTATATATAAAAGTTTTTAAATGTTTAGCTTGTTTTCAAGGAAAATCAAATCAGCTATTCATATAAACTCAGCCCTGTCTGAAAAGGCCAGCGTCTAATAATAATGGTTTCACCATTTGAAAGCAACAACTGCCTCAAGCAGCAATGGATCTTCTACATCCCTCATTTCTCTATGCAGAAATATTTTAATCAAGGCCATAGACTTGAGAACAGATTGAAAACCCAAGACACTCACACACTTTTTTGTTTGTTTTTTTGTGTCTTTTTTTGTATGTACACTGCATATCCCAGCTTTGCTTTAACCTACACTAACACATTGACAGCTAAACACAACATACGGAGCAATCTATAAAAATAAATAGCACGGTTTAAAGGCTGTTTTGTAGGATGTACAGGGAGAGACGGTAAAATCTTAAAGCATATTCATGAATGCTTTTTTTTTTTTGCTCTTAATATTCCCATGACAATAGATAAGATGTTAAAGCACACCGAGGGCCTGATCTCTAAAGATTCACACTAAGAGGCACTGAGCTGAATGTGCAATTTGTTTCAGTACGTGCAATAGGTGGGTGTGTTGCAGGTAATTTACAAAGATTGCTGCGCAAATGTTAAGATATGGAAACCTGTTTGGTTAAAATGAGCAGATTCCCTGTTCTGCAGGAAGTTTGAGACGGGCTGTAAAAGATGGAGTTCTGAGCCAAGTATTTAGAGGAAATAATTATTGTTTAAAAAAATTATGCAAAATTATATTTATAGTGTGCCTTGTATATTATCTGTAAGTGTAGAAATATTCCTGTTTCAAAGAGATGCATACATTTATCCCACTACTACTTTCAGAAGTACTAAAAAAGACCAAAAAAGCGGCGTCTGCTGTTGGAAAATGGCTTTTCACGAAGTAAATGTTTATATTTGCATTTCCTCTAGCTGTAAGTGTACTCAGTTTTGTCATTAAAATATGATCTGAATAGTGATGAGGGCAAATGTCCCAAAAAAAAACAATCTGTCTGCTGAATGGCAAATGTAAATAACTTTGGACCCTTTTTAAAGATCTGCTCCCGTTTTAAGGCAAACAAAACTTTTTAAGATGAGGACCTGAGAGTGTTGCAATTTCAATTGTTAAACTTTTTTTTTTCTTTTCACGCAGTTCTTTTAAAGATTTTCTTCAAAATATTTTAATGTATTTTTTCTCATAAAGGATGACCTCATCATTGTATAATAGTGGAGGCTTTGAGAACGGCAGCTGATGCTTCGCCATCCTGACGCTGTGTGATGTTTTGTTGTCTGCAGGGCATGCGAGTGCTGGTGGATGCCCGAGACAAACTGGGCATTAGCTGGCAGAGCTGTGAGAATGAGAAGCAGGGCATGCTGGTGATGTCGTGGGAGGGGCGTGTGGGCGCCTCGGGGGTCGAGCCCAGTGAGTTTCAGCTCTACGTGATGGCGCTGAGCGCTCTCTGGGGGGACGCAGGCATACAGGAGGCCTACTCACGACGCTCAGAGTTCCAGCTGGTAAGTAGATTAAAGACAACTTTCACCGTTTGGTTGTGCGTCCTGCTGCCTCTCATCATTGCAGCTGGATGGCGTTTTACTTTAAACTTTTATTAATCTGCACTTGCTATAAAATGATAATATAAAAGTAACAGTCCCAGTTTTATCATGCCAGAACCAGGTAATCCAGCGGCCTTTGCACATGTTCACACTGCCCTGGCATTAATAGAATAAATTCATCTTTTATTGCAGTAGCGTATCCGCACCTAAGAGAAGTGAAGTAAATACACAGCTTTTCCAATAGATACACCAGCATTGCTAGTGTTTGTCATTATTTTACATAAATATTAATTTTCACCTTGTTGCAGTTTGTGTATTTGTCTCTGAAGAGGGTGGAAAAAGCGTTGTGTTAATAGTTTGGTATTGAAAACAATATTAATACTGCGCAGGACTAAGGAGTTTTTAACTGAAGAAGTGAAAGTGGTTTGGTTGTTTTTTTAATGGTATAAATAGAGTAGCATACAGTGGGGCAAAAAAGTATTTAGTCAGCCACCAATAGTGCAAGTTCTCCCACTCAAAAAGATAAGAGAGGCCGGTAATTTTCATCATAGATATACCTCAACTATGAGAGACAAAATGAGGGGGGAAAAAATCCAGAAAATCACATTGTCTGATTTTTAAAGAATTTATTTGCAAAATATGGTGGAAAATAAGGCCTCTCTCATCTTTTTAAGTGGGAGAACTTGCACTATTGGTGGCTGACTAAATACGTTTTTGCCCCACTGTATAAAAATACATATTTTATATGGATAAATATGGGTTAGTGACCTTAACAGTAATATGAAAAACAGATTTTATTATCAACTCTCATTTTCACATGAATGCCTCCTTTCTTGTTAAAGGTATCGCATCATGGACATTTTAGAACACCAGAAAAACTTAGATAAGAATTTACTGAATCAGACTGCTAGGAAACTGAAATTAGTCGTCTGTTGGTCTTTTAGTCTAGTAATGATCTGAAACATATGGATTAGTCAACACAGAAACATAACAATCAACCTTCTTCCATGGTCACCTCAGTCCTCTGACCTACATCCTATATAAATAAAGGAGTGGGGGGGCAGAGATAAGGTTGCTGATCAGAAATCCCTCTCTCTGTGCTTTAACCTTGTGAAATATGAGGAATCTAATGGTTGTATAGATGAACATTTACAGGGTTGTAATTAGGTGAGAAGCTAGGCTTTTCATTTTAATGGAAAGTATCATTAAAAACATATTTTTTTAATGTGGGTTTTAATTCCCTCACTAAATAAATGTGGTCAGATTAAAGGTGGATGTTTTTTAACTATAATGTGAGGATTTCTTAGCTCAATAACAGATTAGTTGGCTTTTCTCACATCATTACCTGCCGCTTGTTTACTTCCTGCCTGTGAATAAACCAATGTTTCTGTGTTAGTTTTATTTTCAAAAACATACAGACTTCCTGTTATTTTGTTGGTTGGTTTTTGATTTGGTTTGTTTGTTGTTGTTTTTTTACCCTGGTGCTTTTAGTCCCTTTTTGGGATTGGTTTTGGCCGTTAGTACTTCAGTACTGAAACGTTATATTATTGTTGGGATTCTTGGAAAGCTTCGTCCCCAGGTGGCTTACTTATAAGGGATTTTTGATCATGTTGTAGAGTTATTATTCGTGAATTTCATTAACCTTCCATCAGATTTGTTGACATTTTCCTTCCTGAGTTTGAATTGTTTTGTAAAGGAGCACTCACTCACTCACTGATTCACTCACTGATTCACTCACTTGTGAGTGTTGGGCTTATGCTACTTCCGCTGTGTGCCTTTTCATTGCATAAAAACTAAAGATCTCCAATAAACAGTAATCAGTCATCTGTCTGCTTCTAAGTTTTACTAACAAGTGGATGATTTAGATAAGGTTATTGGTTGTGCAGATATGGAGGATGCACTGCGTGGGGTCCAAGCTCCTTTTACTGTGAGTAAATGGATAAAAGGATGGGGGAGTATGTGAATCAGTGTTCTTAGCTGTGTGCTCTGCTCTGGAGCTAAATTCGCTGACCTAAGGGAAGAAAATTTGATCAGAACTTCTTAACATGTTCTGCAACACTTCAACTACGTTTCTATATCAAAATACTGATGCATTTCAGTAGGGGTTCAGGAAATACCAAGTGGAGGGTCATTAGATGGTTTTCAAACTCATTGAGATGTGATCCCTGAGGTTTATGGAGGGCCAAAATATATCTAGAAATAAATGTAAATGTAATAATAATAATAGGTTTGATATATAAAACACTTAACACTTATATGCAAGTCTCAAAGTGCTACAAAGTGACTATAAAAACATCAATCACCTTATATAACAACAGTAATTAATTATCATTTAGATAAATTAATATGACTTTCTATTTATGCATAAACATAGAGTGAAGTAATAATTTTTAGGGGTGAGAGGCCTGTTGGAACCCCTGACCTAGACCCACACATGTGACTAGAAAATGTGTTTTTTTAGACTTTTTGGGCTATTCCACAGATAAAAATTATGATTCAAAAACTATTCACGGACTGATATGAAGATTAGGCTGATATTGATCAGTATTAAACCAATTAGCTGTTGTTATTTTTAGCTGTTGGCTGAATTGGTTATGCAACATATTGATATTAGTATTGTATTAACATTCAACAGCAAAATAATAAAGTAATTGTAGTTCATGTCGGCTGTAGGGACAGTGGAAAATGCATTTCTTAAATTTTGAAAAGTTCGGTTTGGAGAAATCATAAGAGAATGATCAGAGGAACTACATTTTGGGTAAGAAAGCCTTAGAATAATACGTGGTTACGAAAAATTGCTTAGGAAACTTGCAGATTATAGAAACCATCTTCATTTCAATTTGTTGTTCAGTTTACATGTTTTCTAAGCTAAATCAAGTTTTTGGGGTACTATATAAAGCTTGAACTCAGTGCTATTTCTGACATTTAAATTAAAGAAGCTTCCTGGATGGGAAGCGAAACGTCTTCAAACTGGAAACCAAGTCCATTGGAATGTTTTTTAACTTTTTTGGAATGAGAGAATCGATTCAGAATATGATTTTTTTATTTTTTATTTTAACACAGTGACTTAGACTGTGGTTCACCTGGAGTCAAAATGCCTCAGAAATAGTTTTAACCTTTCCAAATTATATATCAGATAATTTATCTCTCCTGTATTCTGTTTTTTTAAGCACCATTTGTTGCTTTTGGGAGCTAAAATGAAGGATCAAACAAAGCGATCTCTTGATTCTAAGAGTCATTTTTCTATTCGGCCTGTGTAGAGCCTTAGAAATTGACCTCTCGCTTTTCTATAACTGTGGTTAATCGTGGTTAAATCATTTAATAAGGCAGCTGATTACGCTTTCACATAGGGACAGATTGATTTAGATAGCTTTTTCTGTCCTTATTAAATGAAATCATCATAAGAAAACAGCTGTTTGCATGTGTGATTATTGTCTTTGTCTTGTTTTATGTTTAATTGGTTGCATGAAACATTCAAGAGTAAAGGAAAAGCAAAAACAGTGTAAATCTATAACGGGGCACTTTAATGATCCATGACAAATCAGCTCTCCATAGAAAGTAACGGGATCATATGAGAAATGTTGAGACCTGAAAACTGTATAAAAATAAGTCACGGTGATCTGCTCTGAACAGCAGCGAGGGAAGCTAGAGGAAGAGCAGTTTTCTTTCTGCATAACTTTTTTTCTTTTCATTTGAAGACACTCCAAAGATGTAATTATTGTTCTCCAGTGGAAATGAAACCGGTGAAGTGGAGCCCCGTGGAGCTTCATCTCCCTTGTCACATGCAGCAGAGCCAATCTGAAATATCTCTTTGACGTCATTGCGATGCATTTTCCTGATGTATTTAATAAACACTGATAAACAGTGTGTTGCACACAGAACAGAAGTTTTTTTTTTTGGTTGTTTAGTAATACAGCTCGTCTCAAAGGAGAAAACATGAAAATAAAACAGTTTGGGTTGTTTTCTAAAAAATGATATTATTGATAGTAGCAGAAAGCATTTTCTAAACCTTCTTCTTGAAATGAATATTAAACAGCCTGGGGTTACTTTTCAGGGAGTCTTTTTAACACATGTTGTTTTTAAAGAGCCTCCCTGCTGCCTTCAGGGACCCAAACAAACCGAGTCATTTAGAGTAAACTCTTATTTCAGTTTACTGAAGGGTTTGTGACAAACACAACCACCAGTGAAATCATTAACTCAACAAGCAGCTACAAATCTGCTGTAAAGAGGGTCCAGACAGACTCTTAACGGCTCACCAGAAGGTTATGAATTACCACAAGACGTATTGTGAGCAGGGAAACCAGCTGGTCTTGTTGTCAGCGCCTTCTCCATTGTTGGCAGCAGTCGGATTTTATTTGGACTCTATGGAAAGTGACACGGCGATGCTGCAGTTTGCTCAGGGTTGTAAATTTGACCTTTTACCTTGTTTGGCATTTATCAGTGACATAGCAGTGTGGAGTCAGGCAGATGCCACTTCCTCTCACTTAACATGCTGTGCGTGGGTGTAGAGGAGATGCACAAGTTTAGGTCAGACTATCTGGACTCTGAGCCTCTATGTGTGCCTGACTCCTCTCTGGCTTTAAAGCCGGGCCACAAAGAAAACACAAGCAGCCCCTTTTATTTGTCTCTGTTTATAATCAGCACTTAAACATGGGAGTGTTGAAAGTGTAACAAAAGGGGGTGGGGCTTCCTGTAGAGGACAAACGGAAGCCAGAAGGAGCACTGACCAAAGGAAAATAGTTAAAATATGAATTAATAAGCCTATTAATATTGGTAAGGCTCTAACCCTGCTGCCCGCAGGCTTCTATTTGTGCATCACAACACGCACTACACACTGAGAGGTTCTCTGTTCTGTTGGACAGAATGGTTCAAAACTTCGTTAGGTTCTGCCTTGAATGCATCAGCTATATTTATTAAGATCAGTTCATGGGTTGAAGCTTGCATTCAATTCAATTCAATTC